CCCCAAAACCCCAAAACCCCATATGAATAATTATAGATCTTATTAGATGATTATAATAATTAATTAAAATACAAAATATATAACTCAATGAAAGGTATAAACGAGTATTCAGCAATTATGAAGGGAAAATTGGACTCTAATGATTCTGAGGCAAATATCATCAGAAATATTTTGAAAATAGCACGAACCTCTCAACCAAATGAATTGAATCCCAATTCAGTCAAAAAGAATAGCTTTTCTTACTTTTAGTCTAAGTATGGTTTATAATCTAATTAGGAATCAGCATCAACTGAAAATTTGCCAATCGAGGATTCGGATGTTTAAAAATCATTAGAGCTTATACTTACAGTATTCATGATGAAAAAGTTTAAAAATATTAAGTAGACTTTTATACAGTTTTCAACCGATATAAATAAGCTGGTCTATAAAGATAATTCATTAATCAAGATTCTATAAAAATAACTTTAGAATAAGCAAATTTAACTAAACCAATTTTAGCTGAAAATGATGAATGCAATTGAAGTCATAATTATTGAAATTACACTATTATAGGAATCTCTAAATGAAATTAAGTATCAGAGCTAGTAGGGCATAAATTTTAATACAAGGTAGCTTAATGATGCAACAATATTTGAAAGTAAAGATATGATAATGTACTACAGAGAACTGCTATTCAGATTCACAAACTACGATATCATCAATTAAGTGGAACTAAACGATAGATATTCACTTATCAATGACTAATTTCATCTTTTCAAACTGACTAATCTGTTCAAGACTTTTAACACTAAGAATACTATCTATAACTAATATAGATCTAACCCTAGGCTGCATCCTTTGTCATATGAAAGATGGGAAGGCTCACAGTTCAAAATAAAAAACGGTATAAGCTCAAATGTAGAGGATATTGTAGCCTTGGAGCTATTGCCAGATTGTACCCTGGTAAACTTTGAAAAAGTAACTTAAATCAATTATATTCTCAGAAACAATATGAATAGAATTAATGAGAATAGTAAATTACAAATAGTATAAAGTGAATTTTAAGATGAGCAGCTAAACTTATCTAATTAATAACAAGTGTGAGATTT